TGGATTTATTTAAGTAACTATGTTCTTAATTATTTTGAGACCCTATTATACTTGTTTTCTCTCTCAACACAAACAGACATGTAAAACTTCACTTATTTTATTTTTTATATATATATATTCACATTAATTTCTTTTTAAAACTTTTTTTTTAATTCAATATCTTATTTGTATCTGGCCTCAGGGCTGTAATAAACCAATTTGAATTTAATTTAAGACTTGGGTAACAATACGGTGGGATCACTTTGAAGCAGCTTAAGGTTTTTAAGGTCAGCCCCGGGTTAAGCATGTTACATCAGTCTCATCTGAGTTAATAGAGCAGACCCCAAAAAAAGGATTTCGCTTGGTTTTCTGTTCTCTGCAGACTAAGGCAGTGTTTCTCAACCTTGGCCACTTGAAGATGTCTGGACTTCAACTCCCAGAATTCCCCAGCCAGCATTCGCTGGCTGGGGAATTCTAGGAGTTGAAGTCCAGACATCTTCAAGTAGCAAGGTTGAGAAACACTGCCCTAATGCCTCTTTTGGATTAATTAATTAATATAAGACCTTGTCTTATTTTTGGGGAAACATGGTAACCATAGCGATCACTTTATGACTGTGGCATTCACTTAATCTGCTATGAAACAGTCATGTGACTCCAGGACACTGCAACCATCCTTAATGTGAATCAGTTGTCCAGCATCCGGATGTAAATCGTACAACCCTGGGGATGCTGCAATGGTCATAGGTGTGGAAAATGGTCATAAGTCACTTTTTTCAGTGCCGTTGTAACTTCGAGCAGTCACTAAGTGAACGGTTGTAAATTGAGGACTATCAGTATGTTTGTCTCCAGGTTGTAAGCCCTAATGTGTCTTTTAGAGCAAAAAATAATATAAGACCTGATCTTATTTTGAGGGAAACACGGTAACCAGAGTGGTCACTTTATGACTGTGGCATTCACTTAATGACTGCTATGAAACGGTCATAAAAATGGGTCCATCAGAGGTGCCCCATTTTACAATCGTTATAACTAAGAACTGTTATAGGCAGGCTCCTTTATGGGTGTAAATCAGGGATTACCGTATAGGATATGTATCTGCTTGATTTGTGGTTTTCTGGTTTATTCTAGGTTTGTTTCCTTTTCTGTATATATACCACTAAAACTCTCAAAAGCTTTAACTGGTCAAAATGCTGTATCCTAGGCCGGCAATTTTTGAGCCAAGGTATTTCTAATGAGCTAACTTACAGAACGTGAACAAAATTTGAGATTCGTGACTTTCGAGGGAATGACATTTAGGAAAGTTGTAGTTGCTTCAATACTGCCAGGCTGTTGCTGCAGTCATGTCATCTTCGTCTTTAGCATTCCGTGACAGTTTCCCAGCCACTCTTGCAATCCCTCCCTCCCTTCTGCCTGCTAGAAATGAAAGGGGGAAGAAGGGAGGTGGGGAGGGAGGAAAGAATAGGACAAGAGGAAGCCTTGCTCACCCTTCCCAGCCCATGCCATACCTCCATGCCCTGTGCGAACTGTGTTGCCCACACACACAAACATACCCCTTCCTAAATGTACTCTTCCTGATCTATGCCACACACCATCCCTTACATGCACAGCACCTCTTGCACATTCTCAAGCACCCTGAGACATCCTTCCCAACCCTCACACCACCTCTTGCATACTCCTGCGACCCCCACATACCGTTCTCTACCCACACCATCCCTTCAAGACCCTGCAAAATAGGTGCAGCACTTGTGATGCACCCCAGTGCACACTTCTCAACCTCTGCCTCTCTTCCCAACACCTGCCCTCCCCAACCAATGTGGCATCTTTTGTGCACCCCTTTACACCCTTTCTAACGTCTGTGCACCTTTTGTGAATTGCCATATACCCCCCCTTCTCTCCCATGACAGTAGCCACTTAGTTGCCTCTGGCCTTGGGGGAGGGGAGAGGGGGGGAGGAAGGAAGGAAGGAAGGAAAGTTTTCCCTTCCAGATTCCCACAAGGAAGCTCAGTGGGGAATCTGGCAGGATGTCAGAAGCCATTACCCCTCCACTGCTGTTTTGTCCACCGTTAGTCATTCTGTTTCTCTGTGCAGTAATGACCCAACAGGGCGCAAGGTTGCTCCAGTATATTGCATGGGAGGAAATGGGTGCAGCACAAAATGTACAAAAGGATCAGGGCTTTAATCAAGAGGCTGTGCCTGCCACCTTGCAGATGTTGATATGCATCTCTGAAGGTTGCACTGAGTGAGAATAAACTTGAATTCAGTTCACATGATATATGGTCCTGCTTTCTTCACAAAGTGACAGTAGCTAACATTAGTGTCTCCATAATTGTAGTCTTCGGATATTTCATCACAGAACGTGTAAATGACCATATAATGCAGGTTGCTCAAACATGGAGCTTTCTAAAGCTAAAGGGATTGGAATTAGCAATAGCGATGGCACTCCACACGCCAGCCTGAAAAGCAAAGCGGAGTTCTAACTAAACAGGACTAGAATCTTAAACTTAAACTTCAGAGAAAAATTTCTAGAATGAGCCAGGTTGATGAGTTCATGAATGGGGAGGGGGGAACTGCTCACCAGATGTTGCTGATATAGCAATAGCACTTAGACTTATATACCGCTTCACAGTGCTTTACAGCCCTCTCTAAGCAGTTTATACAGAATCAGCCTATTGCCCCCAACACTCTGGGTCGTCATTTACCCACCTCAGATGGATGGAAGGCTGAATCAACTTTGAGTCGATTCCCAGAATATCCAGTTAGCAAGGCCAGTTATGAGAGTTGCAATGCTGATAGTTCTGGAAAGGGTTTTTCCTGGGGAATTCTGGTAGCGCAACTTTTGGTTTGAATTATGAACGCAATAAAATTCCTAAGGTCACCCGTTCAAGGCAACTTTATTTCTGTGAATTGCAGCCTGAAGAGGTTCAAACAGTCCTGAGTCTCAGGGCATCTCTATCCAGAAAACAGCCATGTAGAACTTCCAGGATAAAACACAGAGTTTGACCATCTTGGCGATCACGCATGATTTAAATCAGAAGGGCAGTTTTGTTTAGAGATTCCTGTATCCTTTCAGTCCAGCTATACACAAAGGCTGCAAGAGGTTGGAACTTTGCAGCCACATGCCGGGTGCAGGAAACAGTTCAGCGGGGGAGTGGGGGCTGGCTTCGGTAGGCACTGAGTTGTGGGGGGGGAAGAGGCGGAGGTGGTGAGAAGGAGAGATGCTTGTCCTTCCCTCAGCATCTCCCCTCCCAGCCCAACACAGAAACCAAGGAAGCCGATGAATTATTAAACAGGCCCTGTCCAAGGCGCCTGGGTCAGACTTCTGTGCTGCTGTAGGCTGTACACTAATACCCAGGCTGGTCTTCTAGAATTGACTGGGAACGGTTACTCGATCCAGCACAGCCACGGACTCCCAACTTTGGAGCAGAAGGTCAGAGGAACTGAAGCTTTCCAAGATCTTTGCTTCCACGTGTGCCGGATCTGGAGGGGTTTGGGAAGAGTTTGAGATTCCACAAAGCTGCCTTGGAGTAGATGGTCATCAGCTCCTCCTGCCACTCCTTGCAACAGACCGTCTTCCAAATTCTCTCGGTTTTGGATCCATCTTGTTTTCTTAGGTTGGCATCGTAATTCCAGTCTTGTTTCTTCTTTTTATTCCTTTCTCCCTGTTTCTTTTGTTCAATCCCAGCCCTTTTCTCACCTCCTTCTGGCATCTCCCAAACTTACTTCAGCTACTTTCTGTTCCTTCCCTTTCCTGAATGATTCACCTTTGACCTCCAGCATTAAGAAATCCTGGGGGAGTCCTGTTAATAGCCAGCCAGGAAAGGGGCTATTGGAAGAAACTTGGCAAGAAAGGACAGAATGCCGATCCAGATATTCTGCACCATCTCCTTCTCCTCCAGCAAAAAGAAACACGCTATCAAGAGCCCTGCTGGAAGTAATCACGACAAATCTCTTTATGACCAGCACAATCCAGAAGACTCAGAGAAGGACTCCAAAGAGGAAGAAGAACTAGGGGAGGAAGATGAAGGTACAACCCCAAATCTGGCAGCCTTTGCCAATAGCTGCACCTTGCATGGTGCCAACCATATCTTCATAGGGAATGGATTTGGAATCCGCCAGACCCTCTGGGCAGGTGCATTCCTGATCTCTCTGTCCATTTTCTTATCCCAGGTAGCTGGGCGAATTTTTTACTATCTGGAATATCATCATATCACGCAGCTGGACGAGCAGGAGAGTCCACAGCTGACTTTCCCTGCTGTCACTTTCTGCAACATCAATCGCATCCGAGTATCTCAGCTCACCTACGATTACTTGTCTTATATTTCACCGCTTTTGGGCTATGACGTGGGTACCTATCTGGAAGCAGGCTTCCCACTGGCTACCCCTAGCTTTGAAGTGCCCGAGGAGCCCCTCAATCTGCTTAACTTTTATGACCGCAGCAGCCATCAGCTGGAGGATATGATGCTGACTTGTAGATACCGTGGGGAAATTTGCAGGCCTGAAGATTTTACTATGGTGAGTGATGATTACCTAGTTTCTGTAGTATCAGCCATGGGGAGAAACCTTAGTTTTGCTGAGAGCTAAGCTGCTGGCTAGTTGGTAGAATACTCCCTTTCTGAGGATTAACTGAAAAAGTTACAAAACATAATCAAGTTTTTGACCTTCTCAGAACTTTTCTACAAGATGGATGTGAAGTAACAATATATGGGAAAGGCAGGACAGAAAATTGGTCATTATGAAAAAGCACCTTTGCTAAGAATAGATTGTACCAACGTTAAGATTGATTTTGCCATATTGACAGGGTTGGAAAAGTCGCTATAGTCAAACCTCCTCCCTCAGGGACAGAAATACCTTGCAACAAACATCTAGATACTATCTGGCTTTATTTCTGCTCAAATCTAATATGTACGAGATTCAATTAAACAATACATGTGTTTTGAATGGCATCATACTGCTCAAAGGTTCTGTTTAGTAATTAGAGTTAGGGAATTAAATGAGTAGGCAACATAAGATGCCTCCGTATGTAAAGCTCCATCAGTCCCAGCCAACATTATCAATAGTAGGGAGTTGTGGGAGTTATGCTGCAAAATATTTAGAGGACATCAAGATTAGGACATACATCTAAAATGTTTTGCATCTAGATCTAATCTCAGTTTTGTGTTGGAAGGTGGTGAAACAGTTGTAAATAATAGGTTAGAGTTGATTGTCCTCCAATTGCATTTAGGTGCCTCAGTTCACCTAGGGTGGCTTATTACAGGATATTTTGGTTATAATTAGTATTACAATTATGGAGGGTGTGAGTTGCCTTTACATGATATCTACACAATCTGCTGAGTGACTTTTTTCATGCTTAAAATTAAATCATTACTTGATAGAGATGTTAGCATCAGATATCAGCACTAAAAACCTTTCTTTCCTGATTTTTGATTCTTTCTCTTTACTTATATGCAGAAAATGTCCATTTCTTAACTATTTAATGTCTCAATATTTACCTTCTAAGGGTAATTCTAAAGATCCACCTCTGGCTTGGCAAACTAGTTCTCCACAGATGGATGCGATCTGATCTTGAAAATATCAGCCAGCACAATTGACCTGCATATTCTATCATTGTATTTGTTGTCCATGGTTGTTTTTTTAAAGCACATTTCTTGGCTCTGTCCACTTATCAAACGTGACTCAGACCTCCACTTATGTTTGCGTGAAAGACTCGTGGGCCTCTCCAGATTCCAATTTAAGCAATGTGTGGGAGAGGATTTCCCCAGCAATGAATTATTTGTGTTGAATTGTTCAGAGAAGCAACCGCCTTGATTGAAAAGCACCGTACCATCATCTGTGCTGGAGGAAAAAATGTAATATGTATGATAATCAGTTAAATGGAAAAGAGTTAATAGCCTAAAAAAATAAATACTGTAAATTGGCTGACCAGTCAAGTTATTTCTCTTGAGGTTTGCGAAGGAGCGATTAAAGTTAAAAGAAGAAGAAGGAGTGGGGGAGGTGGCAGCTCGATCTATATATTTCAAAACATTTCTGTATTTTAATGCAGAGGAGCCCTGCTCAAAAGAATAGGTGGTAACCCTACTTCTAGGCCAAGTGAGGCATGTGTGAAGAACCCTAATCCCAATCCTGGAGGGACAGCTCATTTTTTTCCTATCATATCATGCCAGATCCAGGGGTGGGTTGCTGCTGGCATTGCTGCCACTTTGATGCCTCAAAACTTTTGCTACGCGCACGTGTGCATTTGCAAATAAAAAGGTCTGCGCATGCACAAAACTGTAAAAAATAAAAATTTTCCACTGAAAATTGTTCTGCACATGCGCAGAACTGAAAAACAAGATGGCCCCGAAGGAGAACCAGTTCTGGGGCACAGCAGGCATTGGTCACTGGAACAGGCCGCCAAGTTACTACCGGTTCAGCCGAACTGGTCTGAACAGGTAAGAATCCACCTCTGGCCAGATCCTGATTTATAGTAGATTTTGTGTGAGTTTTACCTCTCTCTGGTGCTTATTAAAGCAGGGGCCTTCAATCTTGGTAACTTTACAACTTGTGGACTTCAACTCCCAGAATTCCTCAGCCAGCCAGCTCTGTTCCCAGTGTGCGCATGCACAGAACTGCCAGAAGAATAGTACAACTCAGAAATCAGGTTAGACTTGGGAGTAAAGTCATAGGTGGACGGTGAATGGCCCCTCCCATAGGAAATAAAAGAGGAGCGAAAGGGGAATGAGCTTTTTCAGGAAACAATTTGTTCGTGCGTTCGTTAAATTCATTTCAGGAATGTGAAGTTCTGTCCATGAATCTCAGAGACTCTGTGCCCAGTCTTTCCTTGCACAGCACCTCATTTGGAAAATGTTTACATGGCAGCTTTCAACAGTGATGTGCAGTGAGGTTTATGGCTGGTGAGGCAGCAATTTTTTTAGA